AGGATGATGCCCTACTGGCATTTCAAATAGCTTTTGACCTAGTAGAGAATGAGCACCAAGCTTTTCTTTTGAATGTAAGAGATCGACTCTCCAGTCCAGAAGTACAACCTTCAGAACCTGCCGAGCCTGATACTGCACAGACTGGAGATGCTACTGCTGCAGAGGATGTTCAAATGGCGGAGGAAAATCAGCCTTTGATTGAAACAAGAGTAGATCCAAAAGAAGCAATATATGCAGAGAGGCTGGGAAAAATCAAAGGGATTTTGTCTGGTGAAACTTCAATAAAGTTGACCTTGCAATTCCTGTACAGCCATAACAAGTAATATGAATGCCTTTAAAAGTTCTTTCCATATTCGTTGCTGAAACATGAATGATAGTGCTCAAGTATCTTTTTTTTTCTTTAATCTATGCATACAGGTCTGATCTCCTTATTCTCAAGACAATAAAGCAGTCTGTTGAGATGAGAAACAGTGTGTGTCACAGTGCAACAATATATGCAAATGCAATTATGCATGCTGGAACAACTGTAGATACATTCCTCAGGGAGAACCTAGTGAGTAGATTCTGAGTCTTTGACAAATAACCTTATCCTTCACATATGGTGTATGTAGCACAACAGTTTGTTCTGACAGAATGTTCTGCCCAAATTATCAGGACTGGCTAAGCCGAGCAACAAATTGGGCCAAATTTAGTGCAACAGCTGGATTAGGTGTTATTCACTGTGGCCACTTGCAGCAAGGGAGATCACTTATGGCCCCTTACTTGCCGCAGGGTGGGGCCGGTGGAGGTGGTAGTCCATATTCGGAAGGTGGTGCATTGTATGCTCTTGGGTTAATTCATGCAAATCATGGGGAGGGCATCAAGCAATTTCTTCGTGAAAGTCTACGAAGTACCAATGTAGAGGTACTTGTATTTATTAATTTGATCGTTGTACTTGTATTTATTTATTTCCCAGACCCCACCACTTGTGGGATTACACTGGGTCTGCTAATGTTGTTGTTGTTGTACTTGTATTTATTAATTTGATCGTCCTTCCTGGGTTATATTTGTTCCACCCATTGTTTTTCTTTTTTCTGTTATTTTCTTACATTGCATCTTCTTAATGTTGCAGGTTATTCAGCATGGTGCTTGCTTAGGGCTTGGCTTGGCAGCTTTAGGAACCGCTGATGAAGACATTTATGACGACATCAAGACTGTCCTATATACTGACAGTGCGGTTGCTGGAGAAGCTGCTGGTATTGGTATGGGTTTATTAATGGTTGGAACTGCAAGTGAGAAGGCAGGTGAGATGCTTGCTTATGCTCATGAGACTCAACACGAGAAGATAATCAGGTAAAGTTGACACCTGAATACTTGTACTATCTCTTCATCTGAGGGGGTGTGTTTTAATTTTATCTCTCAAAATGAAATATCCTTGCTTGTGTCTTGTAGAGACTATAGTATTGATTACAATTAGGATTGAAATTGCAAAGAATAGAGAATCTGAATAATGGACTACACAAAGCATTTTGATTAAAAGTAAAATAAAGGAACTATTAATTGCAAAGATATATTAGATTGCATGTATAGAAAGTAAAAAAAAAAAAACTGCAATTATGGATAAAGAGCTCTGGTAGGTATTTTGAATTGATTTCACTGGATAAATTGAGGTCAAAACATTGTGGAGTTATTTTGAGTCAGCTAAATTATCAGTAATCAATATTTTTGTTGTGTTTATTGATTAAAGTAAAGCAAATTTTTTTTAAAAAGTTTAACTTGTATTTCTTTATGTCAGTAGGATAAACCTGCCTATGTTCACTTACAAATATAAATAAATAAATCTGCCTATGTTATTGAAAACATTGTGGATAATTGACCTGTTTTTATTTATATGTTAAGATATGATTATATGTGCTTGAACATTTCCTTCTGACATTGCATTCAGGGGCTTGGCGTTGGGGATTGCCCTCACTGTGTATGGAAGAGAAGAAGAAGCCGATACACTGATCGAGCAGATGACCAGGGATCAAGATCCTATATTGCGTTATGGTGGCATGTATGCTCTGGCAATGGCGTACAGGGGAACAGCAAATAATAAGGCTATCCGTCAGTTGCTGCATTTTGCTGTATCAGACGTGAGTGATGACGTCAGGCGGACTGCAGTTTTGGCGCTTGGATTTGTTATGTATTCTGAACCAGAGCAGGTTGGAGCTTTTCTGATGCTGGTTTATTATGTGGTTCTTATCAATCTCATTATGTTATTTATGGTCTCAGTTGTCAGCAGGATTAATATGTTTAACAGTCTTCTAGAAACAGAACCATGTTTGGTTCTCTGTAACCATCTCTTCCCTCCCCCATCCCGGACATCCAAAATCCCCAACCAGAAAAATTTAAGAGGAAAACTTTAAGCTAGCTCCAGTTTTAAAAATGCTAGTTGTGTTAGCCGAGCTCAATCGTTGGCTTGTGACCCATGTGGGCGCATTGAAGTGGGAACTAAAAGATGCTAATCTAGTTAATTGCGTTGAATTTGCAGATGCCTCGCATTGTCTCATTGTTATCTGAGTCTTACAATCCACACGTGCGCTATGGTGCGGCTTTGGCAGTTGGCATTTCATGTGCTGGTACTGGTCTGAGTGAGGCAATCTCATTGTTGGAGCCTTTGACATCAGATGTAGTTGATTTTGTACGTCAAGGTGCTCTCATTGCTATGGCTATGGTGATGGTCCAAATAAGTGAAGCTAGTGATTCCCGTGTTGGTGCATTTAGGTATTTATCTATAAATCTCTGCATAAAGTCTCCTTTGATTCCTCATCTGATTTTTGAGGTTTTTGCTTTTATCTGTTCAGGCGGCAATTAGAGAAAATTATTCTTGATAAGCATGAAGATACCATGAGTAAGATGGGTGCAATCTTGGCCTCTGGAATTCTTGATGCCGGTGGAAGGAATGTGACAATAAAGCTACTTTCAAAGTCGAAACATGATAAAATTACTGCAGTTGTCGGGCTAGCTGTTTTTAGTCAGTTTTGGTATTGGTATCCTCTTATATATTTCGTTAGCTTGGCATTTTCACCCACAGCTCTCATTGGGCTAAACTATGACCTGAAAGTGCCCAAATTCGATTTCGTATCGCAAGCTAAGCCGTCGCTATTTGAGTATCCTAAGCCTACTACTGTAGCCACAACTAGTTCTGCTGTCAAGCTTCCTACAGCTGTTTTATCAACATCAGTGAGGGCCAAGGCCAGGGCTAGCAAGAAAGAGGCCGAGAAAGCTAATGCTGAGAAGGCATCTGGCGCGTCAACTTCTGCTGCCACTACTTCAGACAAGGGCAAGTCCACTAGTAAGGATGGAGAGTCTATGCAGGTTAGTATATGTTCTGTTCATCCATTTTCACTTCAAAGGTGGCCTTCTCTTGTTAGGGGTTTTGTGATGCTTCTTGCTGTGGCCGCAGTTCTTTATTTGTTGGGGTCCTTGGGAAATTATTGATCGGAATTAGAAAAAATGCTCTGCGCTAAATGATTCTGTTTGTATTGCACCGCTGTTTGAACTGTTATTATTTGCTCACAAACTGCTGTGACCTTTCTGATTGACAGGTGGATACTCCTGCTGAGAAGAAGAATGAACCAGAGCCATCATTTGAGATTTTGACCAACCCAGCTAGGGTGGTTCCTACTCAGGAGAAGCACATCAAATTTTTGGAAGAAAGCAGATATTTGCCAATCAAATCATCGTCTTCTGGCTTTGTGCTTCTGAAAGATCTTCGTCCTGATGAACCCGAAGTATTGGCTCTTACTGATACACCCTCATCAACTACATCCAGTACTGGTGGTTCAGCTGGACAACAGGGCTCAGCCTCAGCAGTCGCTGCTGACGAGGAGCCTCAGCCACCACAGGCATTTGAATATACGTCATGATTTATCGTAAACCTTTGGCTGATTGATTGGATGTTAATTCCATGGAATCCATTTGAGGCGATGTGCTGAATGGGAAGAGGTGAGAAGATATCGAGGTCAAAGAGTAATTTTCCGTGATCAAGTTGAATTTGATTGTAAACGTTCTTTCCTCTTACTACAGAGACGAGCATATAGTTATCGTTATACTGGAAATTTACTGTCGATGTGTCCTTGGTCTATTCACGTGTTCCTCTAGAGCGTATATTTCCTTATCGTTGTGGATTATTTTCGAGGAGCAAGATTTTACCATGTTCAAGACACGATAGAAAGGCAGAAAAGGAGAGGATGTATTTTGTATCTTTACCTTGTTAATTGTGTGCTAGCAATGAATTGATTGCTTTTATATATTTGTTTCCTAGATATTTTTTACGATCTCACAATTCTACATCTACATTATATTTTTCTAAATATTTTTAAAACTTCTCTTTCTTGCGCATAAAACATTTTTACATTAAGATGAATTATATAAAATCAGAGAAACAACAAATGGTCTTGGTTATTTCAGATTCAAATTTGTAGATAACTTCTTACTAGCTAATCATATATACATTCAATCTTAGTGCGATAAGCTCAAACGAGAAATGCTTCTTTTTTTGGGGTATGCAGAACAAATAAAAGCTATGAGTAATATATTTTACATTAAACGTTCTAATCGTAAACACTTAGATATAATAAGTTTTTTCGTCGTCTCACCGACTCTGCTGCGAGGCAATTCTAGTAACACTTTTTAACACCTACATTAATTTCCAATTGACAACTTTTAGGCTGCTAAAGTGCTCACGTGCATGAATACTATTAAACCTATCTTCAAAGAAATAAAAGATTCAAACTTTGAAAATTCTCAATCTATTTTGAATCATAAAAAAATCACATATCAGAGCTTAAGTATTTATTAAACCCTCATGTAAAGAGGTGATAAAGTTGTTCTGCTTGTGATTCCCATTAAATATTTAGGTGGAGGTGAAAAAAAAAACGATGAGTAAATTTGTGAGGTGGAAATTAATCTATATAGGCTCCTCTTCTATATATTTTAAAATTATAAATCAAGAGATTATTATTTTATATATATGTACAAACAAAAATCACCTCCAAAAGTCAAAGACAACTTCTAGCTGGATACTCTGCAAGGTCCATCATTTGAGATACATATATATAAATATTTCATGTCCCAATTTTTGTTTTTATTTTTATCAAAATCCCACTTAAGTTTTATCCTCTTCATATTGTCCAAATTATAAGGTTAGTTTACAAATTTCAATCTTCTTAATTATATTTATGTATATACATCTATTTTCATACTATATTGTATAGTTATAAAGAGAAAAAATAAATTAGATTTTCTTATTTTTCGATGGATTTTCAAATGAATAATTGATTTGTCCATTTTATAGACGGATTCTTTTGTCGTTTGTATTATCCATCAAATTTTTTAGTTGTGTTAGTCAGATATAGTACAGAAGTTACAAGTTCATCTAAATCCAGTTAAGTGCAGAGGCGAATGAAAGAACTTGAAATTTCAAATTCTGAATTCGCACTCAGTATCTTAAATATCTATTTGGTAATGAATTTTTTTTGTCTGTTTCAGCTAGAGGTGGACCCTAGGAGTGATCAAATTATTCGCTAAAGATTTGAGTTTGCGTGGACTTGTGAATATAGAGTCAAAAATTTAGGGTTGTATAAAAAAAAACTATAACAAGACAATGGAGAAAGAAGAAAATTGCCAGGTATATAAGTGTTTGCTTTTATCATTTTTCATTGTTTCTATCCCTAGCCTAATTTAACATTTTTTAAATATATATA